TTTCTTAAAACACTCAAAAAGCTCAAACCCTCAAGGAAATGGCTAGGGTTTGGGGAAAACGACTCTAAGCAATGAAGGCTGGGGTAAAGGAGGGTCTTGTGCTCATAATGTTGCTTATATAGCCCCCAAACCCAAAATATTAGTGTTTTCTTCTGCCATGAGTACGCCCTGCGTACACAAGTGTACGCCCAGCGTACTAGGGCGCGCCTAGTACGCTCAGCGTACGCTTATATACGCGCAACATACTCCTCCTAATCCCAATAATTGAAATTCAACCCTTAAACTTTCATGGCTTCACCCTTCTATCCCCAGGGACTATAAATGACAAATATTGGGATGTTACAATTCTCCCCTACTTAAACTAGTTTTTGTCCTCGAAGTCTGATTCGGCGAACAGTTCTAGATAAAAGCTCCTGAATCTTGGACTCTGGCTCCCAAGCCTACTCAGATCCTTTCCGATGTTGGCACTTACCTCCCTATATAGTTCCAGTGCCCTTTGACCTAAACACTACCCAGCAATACAACCGCCTACTCATCCAATGTGCGCCTTTGCAACTGACAATCGTGAAAAGTGATACAAATCCAACTGAAACTTTTCAAAAGATCTATCCTACATGCCACTTTGCCAACCTGAAAAAATCCTGATGATCCAAAGTATCGGAAACCCAACTTTCCCTCTTCCTAAAGCAAACCCTTTGTGCCGACAAGATAATGCATCCTTCAGCTTCCATAATATCATACAAAATCAATCCACTAATAACACGAACACTTATGCCGGGCCCAATCAGCCTCGGGCTGAAATACCAAGCATGCCTACGATGGGTCCATTCTTCCCTAGGATGGAATACCCTCGTATCCCCATACATGTTTAGCACAATCAACCCTCGGGTCGGAATACCAAACATATCAGTTCCAATCAATCATAGGGTCCGGTCATCCTCAGGATGGAATACCATAGATTGGAATACCTCTATAAACATAATTGTCTCACCCCCAAACCAGAACGGTGGAATTGTTCGAGGGCGGATGACTTCATGTAGTATCGTAACAATTGAATACATAGTAAAGAAAGTACTACAACCATCATATATATATATATATATATATATATATATATATATATATATATATAATTTAAAAGTTTACATTATTGAAAGGTACTTGTTTAAAAACAAATTACAATATGATGTCAAAATGAAACTAAACTGATGCCACAACGTCCCTTCTTCAAAAGCTGTTTGTTTACCTGTTTTACTGAATTCCTGAGAAATACAAGTAGTTTTGAAAGAGTAGATCAGCATTTAAGCTTTTCAGTTCATCAGTATTTAGTAACAATGCTTCTATGAAATAGAATGAAATGGTTTGTACATGTTTGAATGTTCCTAGAAAATCCCATATTTTCTACTATAGTAGATGGTAGTTTAATTGTTCCAAAACTTGTAATGCAATAGCGCTTTTCTTGCCTAAAATAGTATATTTATGTATAAATCGCTAAGCCATTTGAAAAACCCCGTAAATCAATGTGTTTTTAATACTCCATGTGAGTCTTATAACTATGCTATTTGACCAGGATGCCTATAACAACGTTTTTCAAGCGTTGGAAAGTTATGACGTTTGTCACCCCAGGCCTGTCGGCCTAGTTGTAGCTAACAGCTTAGGTGTGGGATTGTCAATCCCGTATAGATCTATACACAAGTATCACGCTCCCCCTACAAGGGATTTGGGTATATAATACAGGACTTAAAATGCATACTTGAAAGTACGTGAAATGTCTCAAAAAACTTAGTATAAAACAGATTTACGTACGAAAATGTCCATTTGTTCTTCTGTATGAAAATATCTCTTTGACATAATGTTTCTAGTATCTAAATGTTCATGATTTTCTCGTAAACAATACCTGTTATAGTTTTTCAAAATGTGTGTTTGGTTCGTATAGTAAACCCTAGTGTAACGCTCACTTGTTATGTAAAGTATAATATTTATAGTGACATAAATGATTACATATACTTAAAGTATAAATAAAGTGTTTGATTCGTATATATATATATATATATATATATATATATATATATATATATATATATATAAACATGTTTTATTTCCAAAAGACAAGATGTTCTCGAGAATATATATCACATATGAAAGTTCCCATGTAGTAGTTATGAATCGCATATGATTTACTTGATAAAAAGAGTATACAGTGAAACTTTATGTTACACATGATAATAACTGTGTGTTTACTTGTATTGCCCCTTAAAAGTGTATAAAAAGCATTAATAAAACATTTGAAAGTGTAGTTTATAGGGGTATGAACTCACTTGATTGATGGGAGAAATCAAGATGAAAATTGAATAGCACTTCGACTTGGAAGAGTTGATTTTCTTGGGATTCTCGGGAATCTCAGGAATCTCGGGAGTGTAGAACCTTCCTTCCGAACTTGAGTGTGAAAATCGGGGCTTCGGGATGGCTTATCGAGGTAATTATGCAGAGTAACAACACTTAGATGGAAAGAGATGAGCACCAAACCCGGCACCCTTAAGCTTCTATTTATAGGGGCATTTCTGGTGTGCCACGTCGTGGCCAACTATTCCACGTCGTGGTGAGCAAAATCTTATCCTCTTCCATTGATGGGACGCCCTCAGTCACTTGTCGGGTCGCGACAAACTATGTCACATCGTGGCAGACCTAACAGCCTTAGATTTTGAGCCTTAAACTTATAAAATCCGTAACTTTTGCGTACGAGCTCCATTTTCGACGTTCTTTATATGCACGTGTAGGTGAAAATGTACTCTACAACGCTCGTTTAGACTTTATCGGCTAATTTTGAATTTATTTTTAACAGGCCGGGACTGGAAAAACCGGTTAAAAATTCATAACTTCTTCATCTGGCATCCTTTTTTGCCGAACTTTTTACTGTTGAACTATTTTGTTTGAGACCTTCGATTCTTATTTAGGTTGTTTCGACCAAAAGTTTCTTGATCTCTATTTTGAGTTTTTAGTTGTCTACTGCTATATCCGAATCTTGGAAAAGTCGTAACTTCCTCATACGAAGTCAGATTTGGACGTTCTTTTTAAGTATGTTCAAGGTTTAATGATACCTACAAATTTCATTTAGATACTTAAAGCTAAAAACTATTGTATTGAAACTTCGTGTTTTTCGTTAATCGGTGTTGTTGGTTTTGTCGGAAATCTTAGAATGGTCATAACTTTTTCGTTATAACTCGGATTTTAGTGTTCTTAGTATTTACGTAAACCTTGACACAATATCTAGCACATTAGGTAACCCAATGGAGACTTTTGTACATTTTATTTTCGAACTTAATTTCATTATTTCAATAGTGGTTACAATACTTGACTTTTTAGGTTATTACATAGAGTCGAAATATCGGGTTGTCACATCATCCCCCCGTTAGATGGAATTTTGTCCTGAAATTTAATATAAGAAAAGCACTTGTCGATTAGGGAAAAAGATGTCGGTACTTATGTTTCATCTGATCTTCGCGTTCCCAGGTGTATTCAGGTCATCGCTTTGAATTTCAGCGGACCTTCATGATGGGTATGCGACTTTGTTTTGTTCTTTTAATTTCCCGATCCATGATTTCAATTGGTTCTTCTATAAAGTGGAGACTCTCATTGATTTCGATTTCATTGGACAAACATTTCTTCAAGTTTGACACATGAGAGGTAGGATATACGTTATTGAGTTCCTACGGTAGTCGAAGTTTGTATGCTACCGGACCGATCCTTGAAAGGATCTCGAATGGTCTGATATACCTTGGGTTTAGTTTCCCACGTTTTCCGAAACATATTAACCCCTTCCAGGGTGAGACCTTTAATAGCACTCGGTCCCCAACCTGAAATTCCAAGGGTTTCCATCTTTTGTCTGCATAACTCTTTTGTCTGTCTCTTGAAGCCTTTAGTCGTTCCCAAATTTGTACAATCTTTTTGGTTGTCTCTCTTATGATCTCCAGGCCAGTGAGAGTGTTGTTGGGTACTTCTCCCTTGGCTATTTGCGTGTCACCTACTTCAGCCCAGCACAGTGGTGATCTGCACTTCCGGCTGTAGAGGGCTTCAAATGGAGCAACTTTAATGCTGGAGTGATAGCTACTGTTGTATGAAAATTCTACTAGTGGTAAATGGGTATCCCACGCTTTACCAAAATCGATTACACAAACTCTTAGCATATCTTCCAAGGTTTGTATGGTCCTCTCACTTTGACCATCAGTTTGTGGGTGGTAAGCGGTACTCATGTCTAGTTTTGTTCCAAGAGATTTTTGTAGTGACTGCCAAAATCGTGAGGTGAACCTACTATCTCTGTCGGAGATAATGGATATTGGTACACCGTGTAGTCATACAATCTCTCGAATGTATGTTCGAGCTAGCTTTTCCATCTTGTCGGTTTCCTTTATGGGTAGAAAGTGTGCGGATTTTGTTAATCTATCGACGATTACCCAGATGGTGTCTAGCCCACCTGCTGTCTTGGGTAATTTGGTTACACTACTAGAAAAACAGCCTTTTACGACGCTCATTGCGCGTCGTAAAAGGCTCAGACGACGCGCAAATGTGCGTCAAGGAAGGCCCTGTCATAAAGAGAGACGACGCGCATTTACGACGCTCGTTTACGACACGCAATTACGACACACGTTTACGACACGCAATGCGCATCAAGGAAGGCGATGTCATAAAGGAAGACGACACGGATTCGCGTGTCGTAACCTTACGACGCGCGTGTTCATGACACGCAACGCGTATCAAGAAATCCCCTGTCAAGAAAGGTCATGTCATAAATGAAGATGACACACATTTTTGCGTATCGTAAATTTAAATGTTTAAAAAAAATATTTTTATATTTATTAAATTTTAAATTAAATTTTCATTTAATGTCTCATAATAGAAATAAAATAACATATACAAAAAATACAATCCATTGCATAAAATTTAATGTCATACATTTCTATTTCTTACAATATATAAATTTATATTAGTCTAATCTACTATGTGTTTCATACTAACAATTGAAATGAAGAATGCAACTCTTGCATTTGCAGCATCTTATCTCTTTCGGCTTGAGCTTTCTTTCCTCTTCTAATTCAAGAGTTATTCAGTATCATCTACCCTGTAAGCACAACACAAGAAATAATGATATGATTTCCTTCAATGTGGAGACATCCTTACATGCTCCTTCCTCTAAATCTATACCAACTTTGACATTCTCAGCTAATGTTTTTGGTATCATTTCAAAGCTCTCTGTAAATTTTCCAATTACATATTGATCTAATCTGCATCATATCAATCATCAATCAAAAAACAAATTTAGTAAAACAAAAACTAATCATTCAGATTACCTACCCTGTCTCTGAGAAAGAAAACTCCTTCAGTTTTCTTGCTAATTCAATTTCAGTGGCTGCAGCTCCAGGCACAATTCTACTATCCTTGCATAACATGTAAAAAAATACAAGGAATAAAAATATAATTTATCCAAACAGTAATGCATTTTATCTTGTTACTAAACGCAAAAACAAGAAGCAACAAAATAATTAACTCTGACTTTAGGTTTTTCCTAAAAAAATTCCTTTCATTTCCCAAACTGCCCTCTCATTGTTTTTGGTGAAAGAAAAAAGAAGGTCCAGATAACCTTGTAAGTGTTTACACCATCATCAACAGCCCTTACCAGATCATCAAGTATGCTATCTGTACTTCGACGCAGCAAAACCGTTGTCATAGAGTTCCCGCCTTGTTTTTTTCTTACAATAGTCACCTACACAACAAACAACAGGGGCATTTTTGCCTTTATAAAAAACTATAATTTTTTCCTCTTGACATCAATCTCAGTCACCAAACCAAACAAACGAGAAATGATGTTTCATAATCATACATACCCTAGCACCACCAATTTCCTCTACATAAATGGAGTCAACATATATATCCAAGATCATCAGGATTCACAGCACCAAGCTTCAACTGCAATTATATAAATTATTAGCAATTATATATATATATATATATATATATATATATATATATATATATATATATATATATATATACTAGAAAATTTTGAGGCCCGTGCTAAGCACGACCCAAGGAGGGCACTTTGGGTATTTTTTTACTGTTATCTAATATATATTGTGCTGATACCAAAAAAAAGTGAGAGTACAATACTATAAATAGATGGATTTTCAATGTACAATACATGAAAAAAAAAACATGGAAGTATGTTGCTATAATCAATAAATAAATCAAAGCCCATTGTGGTTACATAATATGATTTCACCTTATGAAAAACCTATCAACATCATTTGTAGTGGATATGGATATTGGGTGTTCAAGGCTTTTTCCAGTTGTTCCTTGGTTGCCTATTGATCTTTATTGCTATCTCTATTACTTGATTCGACATGGCCCAAAAAATTTAGCACAAATTAGAAGGATTTAAGACTTTAAAAGTTTTTTTTTACATCCTGCAACCATTTAGAACATACTTAGTGCAATAGAATAGCTAAATGATTTATTATTTAATTGAACAAAGCCTTTGGCCTAACGGTAAGGAGTGATGCTCTCAAACGAGAGGTAATGGATTCAAGTCTCTTAGGAGACATAGGTGGTATTTAGGAGTAGGTTTAGATAGTTTGACATTTAAAAAAAAAAGTGATTACATATATCTTGTTAACGCATGATGTTTTGTGAAGCAAAAATGAGGCATAAATCCTATCTTGAACTCATTTTTATGAGTTGTTAATAATAATTGTATATGATATTTGTTTAGACATAACTTGATTATATTAAAGGTTTACTTTGAACTATCAAGAGTATATGAAGCCAGCCCTGCCAAACAAAAATATTGGATAAAACACCAAGAAAATATGGTTTTCTTTTAATTTAATTGAACACTTTTGGCGATCAGTATTTCCCCAAAAAAAAAAAAAAACAAATGCACACTGCTACTATTCAAGTTTGTGAAACTTAATTGTAACATGATCGTATTCTTTATAATGAAAGATTAAGTTCATATGGAATGATTCGCATGCTAAATTGCTAATCCAATAATAATATATAATATAACAGGAAATAAATATTATTATTATTTTTTCCTCTTAACCAAAATTAGCAAAATTTAAGAACTAACTTGACAAAAAAATGATATGTGAACACAAGGAAATTTGGAAAGTTACAATTATGCAAAATTTAAGATACTATTAGCATAAAACTATGTCTTTACGTTTCATCTGAATTTTTACAAGCAATGTTATATGTGTATGAGTAGTTTGGATACCATGTTGACTTGAATCAAAAGCAAAATGAAAAATTACAGACCTGCTATTATGAGGTTGATTGGTAGAACACCATCACATTATTACATCCTTTCGCATGAAGAATCTAACAACTACAAAATACAGATTTTTTGAAGATACAAAATATAAGAGCGATCAGAAAAATGAACCTATTTATTAGGGATTTAGTTTAAATGTCACAAATGGGAAAACCTGCATCAAAGGTAGTTAGTTACCTGTGCCTTGTGTAGGCCATCCACAGCTTCAATTGTCATTCTCCTATCCAAACAAATGATTTCCTCAGACTCCAAGCATTTGTTGTAGTAGTATAATGCATCATCTACCTCTTCTAGAAGTAAACGACAGCTGGAAATAGGATATAAAAAGAAAATTAGGTTATGATTTTTCCTATGTAATAAGTAATATGTAACAATAACTGAAAGATAGAAATCTTATTTTGCGGATATTAAGTTGACCTTCATGAAATTGGGATCTAATGCAACAGCCATTCAACAGTCTTTTAGACCTTCCTGTGTAGCTACACAATTGCTATAACACAAAAGAAGAGGGTGTATACAAAATGTATCCTTTATCTACCAAGTTTTGACTGCTGATGAACAGATCTCAAGGACAAAACATGTATCGCTTGAAAGTTCATACACATAGAGATATTAAAAAGATCATTATAACCATAACTCAATCCAAGCTGAACCATTTTGAATATTAGTAAACATGTTTCAATCCTTATTTCCATTCTTTTCAAACTAATTGTTAAAAAGTATTTCAATGTATATACTTACAGGTGAAGATTTTGCATCCGGTTCACACAACCAATTTCGTCTTGCTTCCCACAAGCCCAGAACTGGACGTGATCCTTAATTAGATTACTTCCTTACCCATGTTTCTTATCAGTGTTGAAGAGGAAGGCTTGAGAATCTGCTTGAGTGTTTTTTTTGTCATTCATTCTTCTTTTAGAGGCTGCAAAACATTTAAAATTTCACCAATCAAAGTTACAATAAAATCCTAAATAACAAATCGATTAACCAAAACTTCAGAAAAAACCAGTTGGGGAATTTCATCAAACACATGGAGGGCCATATCAGCTACTTAACACAGGTCCTTTCACGTACTCAGACAAACACATTCCGGATTAGAAGGTGAAAAAAACCGAAAGCCCTTTCCTTTGAACTGGATTTGATTTCACCCCAATATTACTCTCAATGAACAAAAATAGAGATTTCAAATTACAAATCTTTACCTGGTTAGTGGCCAAACGATCATTTAAATGACCGCAATAACTCAATAGTGTTTCAGAGATTATTAGGGAGGAGTAGTTGAATGATATACATACAGTTGAGCTTAAGGGACTGAAACGGAATCGATCACCCTAAAATTACGTCAACTTCCTCAAGTTGCTATGTGTTTCCTATCACAAATGTTACCAGAGGTAACTTCACCAAACCACTCACCGCCACCAACTGCGTCGCCAACATTTTCTTGCTCTTTTACTCCTCTATTCAATGACAGAACAGATACATGTACAGGAGAGAATATCTGAATATGTAGCTTTAGTAGCCAAAGATGGTTACTAGAGTAGGAAATTAGCGACAACACTTCAGGGGATCGAGAAATGAAGGAGAAGAAAATGTAGAGAGAGAAAAAAGTCTGAGAACCATTTGAAGATGTTAACGAATTCAGATGAGAAATTAGGGCTCGTATGAAGCTGTATCTCTTCTGTCGAGAACCCTGTGGGTTTGATCTGTTCAAAAGACGGGATCATATTGCGATTTTGTTGTGGGAAAAAAGAGGATTGGTTATGTTATTAGGTTTTTTTGGGTATTAGAGAGAGAGAGAGAGAGAGAGAAACAAAGACAAAAAGAAGAAGGATGGAAATAAGGAAAAGGGAAACAATGGCGGCCTTTCAAACTTTTGGGATTTTCGTTTCCCCCCTGCAAAAGAAGAGAACGCGCCTTGCGTTAAAAAAATATAAAGCGACATTTCAAGATGACACCCATTTTTAAATAAGTGCCCTCCGTGTTTTTTTTGTTCGACATTAATTTTAGGGCACGAATAAAAGCGTATCCACTATCCTTCAAATTTTAGAAGAGATAACATTATTTTTAGGGCACACGCTATTGTGTATCGTAAATCGATGCGTGTCATTGTTTGCGCGTCATTAAAGGCCCTTTTTCTAGTAGTGTTATGAAGTCCATGGTTATGCGTTCCCACTTCTACTCGGGTATTTCGGGTTGTTGTAGCAATCCCGATGGCTTTTGGTACTTTACCTTGACTTTGGTGCAAGTCAGACACTTGCCCACATAGGTAGTGATCTCTGCTTTCATGTTCAACCACCAATACAGTTTCTTGAGGTCCAGATACATCTTGTCCGAACCTGGGTGCACGGAGTATCAAGTCTTATGAGCCTCACTCATGACCACATCTCTGAATCCCCCAAACTTCGGTGTCCAGATCCGATCCACGAAGTAACGAACTCCATCACCCTTGACTTCCAGATTCTTGTCCATTCCCCTTAAGGCTTCACCTGCCACATTCTTTGTTCTCAAGGCTTCCCTCTGAACTTCCTTGATTTGTATGTACAGGTGTGAATGGTTAAGGATTTCATTCGGCGGCCCGAGTATTCCTTTCGACTAAGAGCATCAGCTACTACATTCACTTTTCCTGGGTGATAATAAATCTCGCATTCGTAGTCATTTAGCAGTTCAACCCATCGTCTTTGCCTCATGTTGAGTTCCTTTTGATTGAGGATGTGCTGAAGACTCTTGTGATCGGTGAAAATCATGCATTTCGTGCCATAGAGATAGTGTCTCCAGATCTTTAGCGCGAAAATGACTGCTCCTAGTTCAAGATCGTGTATAGTGTAGTTGACCTTGTGCATCTTCAGTTGTCTAAAGGTGTAGACGATGACCTTTCCTCATTGCATTAGAACACATCCAAGACCTTGATTAGATGCATCACAGTAGACCACTAAGTCTTATGTTCCTTCTGGTAAGGACAATATAGGTGCGCTGCATAGAGCTTGCTTCAGTATTTGGAATGTAGCGTCTTGCATTTCTTCCCTGTTGAAAGTAACACCCTTTTGGGTCATGGTGGTAAGTGGTTTCACAATCGTCGAGAAGTTCTGTATAAACCTTCGATAGTAGCCAGCAAGGCCAAAGAATTCCCGGTTTCTGTTGGGGTTCAGGGGACTGACCAGTTCTTGATTGCCTTGATTTTGGAAGGGTCCACGTGTGTCCCGTCTTCGCTAACCACGTGACCTAGGAAATCTACTTTCCGAATCAAAAATCCGCACTTTCAGAATTTTACGTATAGCTTTTCGTTTCTTTGAGTTTCCAAGATTTGTCGGAGGTGTTGACCATGTTCCTCTTTACTCTTTGAATAGCTGAGTATATCGTCTATGGACACGATCACAAATTTGTCTAGGAATGAACGAAACACTTGATTCATTAAGTCCATGAACACTGTCGGTGCATTTGTTAATCCAAAGGGCATCACTACAAACTCGTAGTGGCCATAACGAGTTCGGAAGGCTGTTTTGGGAACATCTCCTTCCGAGACTCGCAACTGATGATACCCGGGTCTCAAATCGACCTTTGAGAAATAACTCGCTCCTTGGAGTTAGTCGAACAAATCGTCGATGCGTGGTAAGGGATATCGGTTCTTGATAGTGAGCTTGTTGAGTTCTCGATAGTCGATGCACATGCGGAAAGATCCATCCTTCTTCTTAACGAACAGGACTGCTGCTCCCCAAGGTGAGAAGCTTGGTCTGATGAATCCTTTGTTGAGCAGTTCGTTTAATTGGCTGGATAATTCTTGCATCTCAGCTGGTGCCAGACGATATGGAGACTTAGCTATTGGGGTAGCCCCGGGAATTAAATCGATCTTGAATTCAACATGTCGTTCTGGTGGGACTCCTGGGAGATCTTCAGGGAAGATATCAGGAAAATCGCAGACTTTCGGAATGTCTTTGATGCCTTTTGTTTCTTTTTCCTTATCTACCACGTGGGCTAAGAAGGCATGGTACTCCTTACGTAGGTATTTCTGGGCTTTGACGCAAGAGATGATTTGTAAATTGGAACCAGGTTTGTCACCATAAATGACAAAAGTTTCGCCGCTTGCCAGGTTTAGACGAATGGCCCTTTCGTAACAAAGAATATTGGCATGCTAGCTCTTTATAGTGATCGGCATTAGATCAATTTGAAATGAATGTTCGTTTAGAGTTAGTGTGCAGCCTATGTACATATCATTTGTGCTTTCTGTTCTACCATTTTCCATTTCTACTGTGAATACCTTATTGAGTGATTTAGGGTTCTGTTTTAGTATGTGCTTGAATTTATGACTCACGAAACTCCTTTCCGCGCCACAATCAAAGAGTATGCATGCATAAGAATTATTGAGGAGAAACGTACCCGTAACCACCATGGGATCATCTATTGCTTCGTTCTGCCCTATTGCTAGCACTCTTCCTATGCCGCCAGCATTCCTTGCCTTACGGTAGTCTCTCTTGTAGTGTCCAGCCTCACTGTATCCATAACATGCCTGGCCCACACCAACTCCAGGGACTTGAGTGATTGGTCGTGTCGGGGCCTTACAGAAACGGGCAGTGTGCCCCTTCTTGTTGCAGTTGTTGCAGTGCATCTCCTGACAATTTCCGTTGTGATGGAAATTGCATTTGCTGCATTTTGGTAGGTTCCCAGCGTATTGCTTCGCTGGTGCAGAGGTAACTGGAGAAGCAGTGGGGGTAGTAGCGGCATACACTACCACTATTTGTTGCCTCTTGGAAGGTTCCTGTGAAGAATGACCCTTCCTCTTGTTCCAGAACTTCTTCTTGCTATTATTGTTGGTATTGATGTTGTTGTTGTTGTTGTTGTTTCCTATGGTTTGCTCCGGGACAGCGGTTGCGAAGCCTTGACAGATTCCATGGTCAACGAGAGCTTGTGCCAACTGTTTGGCGCTATCGAAAGTGACTAGTTTGGAAGCTAGTACACTTCCTCGAATATGGGGTAATAGTCCCCAAATGTATCTTTCGATCTTCTTGCTCTCTAGAGAAACCATCCCTGGGCAGAGGATTGCCAAATCACTAAACCTATTGGTATAGGTCGTGATGTCCGAGCCTACCATAGTAAGGCCCCAAAGTTCCTGCTTTAGCTTTTGTACTTCGCCCCTTAGACAGTACTCTTGCATTAACAGTTGTTTTAAATTCTCCCAGCCCATAGAATTTTCTACTACCAGGGTTAGTGACTTGACGTGTCCATTCCACCACATCAGGGCTCTCACAGAGAATGTACAAGCAACAAATTTTACCTTGCTCACTTCCAGACATGCACAGATCTCAAGAACCTCTTCTATTTTCTCTATCCATTATGATAGAGCCATTATCCCTCCGAATCTGTTAAAATTCATGGGCTTGCTATTGGTGAAGTCCTTAAAAGTACCATCCCCTGAACGACTTGGACGTTGGCCATTTGTAGACCTATTCACTCCTCCCCCCGACCCATTATTACTCATCTTCACTATTTCTGTTGTTACTGTAGCTGTTACAGCAGCAATCAATGTGGCATTTTCCGTAGATGGAGGTGGCAGTGATGGAGGTATCCTGCCCGGCCTGGGTCTTAGGTTTGGACGAGGAGGCATCGTGCTGCCAATAAATAAAAATAAAAGATTATAAGTTTTGGTGGCTGAGAGTTGAATGATAACGAGTTAACTATCTTGAATAGTTCAAGAATTTGGTTTGACCAACACACGGCTTTGAGTTTGATTCACCAATGGATTTTGAATAACAATGAACAAACTCATGAACTTGAATGAAATGCACAGGGTTAACACACAAAAGAGGTATGCCCTATATATATTAAACATATGGTTGTGTTACATCCGAAGTTAGAAGATTTTGACCTTTCTAAAGGTCTCTGATTACAGAAAGTTAAGGAAGGTAAGACTTTTAGCTGATTGTCCTATTCTATATCAAAATTTGGTAGTTAGGCGAGCACTACTTGCTGTGCAGATTACGCATGGAGCTTGACTTCGTATCCGATTGCTTGGCTCCCATGAAACGCCTGTCAAAGGCAGCTTGTTGCTCCCTCAAATCTCTCATTTCGGAGAGAGATGCAGTCATTTGTTCCTGGAGGGAGTTAGTGTGGAGTTGAGCACTCCCTTGTAGCATGTATAGGCGATGGATATCAACTGCGTTCTCTTCCATCCTTATGTCAACCTCGCAAATCCGGTTTGCTTGGACTCCGGATTGATAGGCCTGATTGGCAAGTTTGCCTACCACAACTGGGAGTGCTCGATCAGCTAAACTTCCTCCGCTAACGTCGTAGAAGTCCCGACACATATCGTAAGGAGGAGGCAGTCCTTGCCACTGGCTCCAATGGTGGATGTGGCTTTCCCAGACGGGAGTTGGTCCTTGAAATCCCATCCTGAAAGGAGGTCAAACCGATGGAGGTCAGACGGCCGACGGATTAATTACCTCGGGCTCTAAAGCTAAGATATCTGAATCTTCCTCTTCCTCGTCTTCCATGGGTTCCTCCTCGGGGTCGTCTATAATCCATCCTTCATTACCTTGGTTGGGGTAGTAGGGGTCGCCGGGGTGATGAAATCCATCCATTGAGTCTATATGAGAATAGGTTTAAGAATTGACTATAAGCTAAAGCACGTAAAGTTTTACCCTTAAGTTTGACAGTTGAAGATACCCAAATACTCCCATAGTATTCTTAATGATATGCTCTTGGTAAGTTTTAAATTTGTTTTCCACTACAGACA